ACGGCCAAGAGAATCTAAATTAGTTTTTCCAATTGACAAAGTTGATGTGGGGCTGCAGACTTCTCTTGATGATAATGTTGGAGAGAATTCTGTTTTATTCACCTGTAGTAATTGTAAAAGCAGAGCACAACTTGAGGCCAACGAGACTGACAATAACTCAAACCTACAGTTAGTACCGTTTGAATGTCCTGGGTCTGTTGATAGGCCAAAGAAACAAGTGCTCAAAGTAGGTGTAAAAATTCAGTTGCATTTCTTTTGTAGAACTTGAATTCATTATATCACTTATAACTCCATTTACTTCTGTTAATTAGGCAGTAGAAAAGGTTTTGGCAGAATCTATAAGGAGAGAAATGGCACTTGAAGAGTTTTGTGCCAAGCAGAGTTCTGAGATATTGCAGCTTAATCGCCTGGTAAATTTCTTTCTTATTTACAACCATCTCTCTTTTTTTTTTTTTTTTTTTTTTGTGTACGATGTTATTAATGAATGCTTCCCTTGTACTTGTAGGTGGAACAGTACAAGCATGAGATCGAATGCAATGCTATAGTTACACAGACAAGGGAAGATAAAATTCTTCGTCTTGAGAGCCTCATGGATGGTGTTTTACCCACTGAAGAGTTCATGGCAGAAGAACTAGTGGCTCTTAACCATGAACACAAGGTAGAAATATGTTCTTTTGCCCTTCACATTTATGAACAGTAGTCTGATATTTTATGCTCATAATGTGTGATTACTATCAACAGTTGTTAAAGGATAAGTACGAGAATCATCCAGAAGTTTTGGAAATGAAGATAGAGTTGAAAAAGGTGCAAGATGAATTGGAAAAGTATCAAAATTTCTATAAATTTGGGGAGAGAGAAGTGCTGATGGAAGAGATACAAAGTTTGAGAAGCCAGCTTCAATTTTATATTGAATCTTCATCAACATCATCAAGGAAGCAATATCCTCTATTGCAATTGACGTTGTCTTCTGATCCCAGTACGGCAGCAACCCTCGCTGCCATTCCAGAGTTGACAGATGAGAGAGAGAATACAAACGAAATTCTAGCATCATCCAATAACGATATTGAAGCAATGGAAATTCTAGAATCCTCCAAGAACAATAATGAAGCAAAAGAAATTCTAGCATCATCCAAGAATGATATTGAAGCACAATTTGAACAAGAAAGAATTAAATGGACTGAGGCAGAAAGCAGGTGGATTTGTCTTTCTGAAGAACTTAGAGCTGAGCTTGAAAGTAGCAGGTTGCTATCTGAAAAGAGGAAGCGGGAATTAGATGCTGAGAGGCAGTGTACTCAGGAGCTTCAGGAAGCCATGCACATGGCTATAGAAGGGCATGCAAGACTTTTAGAACAATATGCTGATTTGGAAGAGAAACACATCCATTTGCTTGCAAGGCATAGACAGATCCAAGAAGGAATTGAGGATGTCAAGAAAGCGGCTTCCAGAGCAGGAGTAAGAGGTGCAGAATCTAAGTTCATAAATGCCCTTGCTGCTGAAATTTCAGCGTTAAAAGCGGAAAGAGAAAAAGAACGAAGAATCTTAAGGGATGAAAATAAAGGGCTTCAGTCACAGTTGAAGGACACTGCAGAAGCAGTACAAGCTGCTGGTGAACTGCTTTTGCGGCTTAAAGAGGCTGAAGAAACTGTCACTGCTGCACAGGTTAGCAACAATTCAAATACCCTCCATGTTTGGTTTTATCAACTGGATGACTTTTTATTATGTTTAGTTGCTGTGATTGTAATTTCACTAACTGAGCCTCACTTTTTAACATGTAATTGCAGAAACGGGCGATGGATGCAGAACAGGAAGCCGCCAAGGCCTACAAACAAATTGACAAGTTGAAGAAGAAACATGAGAAGGAGATCATCACATTTAATGAGCTCCTTGCAGAAGCACGTTTACCGAAGGGATCGGTACGACCAACTTATGATGACGATGTTGTCATGCCCAGTTATGACGACTCAAAGGAACAAAACCGTTTTAATGATCAGTTTGAGCCATTTCATAATAATGCAGAGTACGGCGAGCTTGCAAAACTAGCAGAACCATCATGGTTCTCTGGTTACGATAGATGTAACATATAAATATATCATCTCATTACAGTGTGTCATTTGTATTAATTTGTCCATATATGATTTGAAAAAAAGGTTGTATTCTTTCGTTCTTACTTTTTGTGAGCATAAACGAGTTTCCCTCCCCATATATCTCCTTGCAGAAGCACGTTGAGTAGACACAATATTTACCCGATATCGATTGTCGGTTGCAAAGTCGATGATGCAGCTCTTCATTCTTTGTTATTCTTAATTCCAATTTATGAAATTATATTATTAANGCAGTTGTTAATGAAGTTATGGAAGAAGATGTGAAACACTTGAGACAAGTGATACGGCAACTAAGGGTATATTGTTGTGATAATTTTAAATCACCTTCTGTTTTTCCATTCTTCATTTTGCTTTTGTAGTAGCTTAGAAGTGTATGATATCAACAGGATGAGCTCCACCGAATTAAAGAAAATGGCTACAACCCAATGGGTTCAAGTGGAGGTCATTCAGCAGCTTGGATCCGGCGAAGCTTGAATTTGTTACAGTCCAGCCTCAATCGACCACCACCATTATCGCGTGTTGATGAAGATGGTGATGAGGAGATGGAAATTGACGAGGAAGTTATTGAGGACCATGATGAAGCTTCCTGCAATACCAATATGCCGAGTAATTGTAATATTGCATCTGACAATGACAATGGAATGAACACTGATGATCAGGATTTATCTCAACCTAGTGAGGAGAAAAATATACCTGGCAGTAAAAGTCTCAGTGAACCTTCATGTCCAATGGGTGAATCTGACATTGGAAGTTTTACAGGTTTTTCAGCCCCAGATGTGCCCAGTGAGTCTCCTAGTGCAGCAATGAATTGTGTCTCACCTGCCAGTCTTAGCATAGTTCAGTGTGATTTGTCCCCAATCCTTAAATCCCCAGCTCCTAGTGTTTCACCTAGAATCAGTACCAGCAGAAAAAGTCTGAGGACATCAACAGGGTTGTCTCCTTCTGAGAATGATCTTCATGTTGAAAAAGATTTGGGAATTAGAACTAGCAATAAGAAAAACTCATATTCTGCATGTAGTAGTCAGACAGCTCCAAATTTCATTAGTAAAACAGAAAATTTAGCAGCAAGCATACGCCATGGTCTTGAAATTATTGATAGTTACCAACGCAATTCAGCTTTGAGGCAGTCAGCAAACAGGTTTTCCTTACGGCCAAGAGAATCTAAATTAGTTTTTCCAATTGACAAAGTTGATGTGGGGCTGCAGACTTCTCTTGATGATAATGTTGGAGAGAATTCTGTTTTATTCACCTGTAGTAATTGTAAAAGCAGAGCACAACTTGAGGCCAACGAGACTGACAATAACTCAAACCTACAGTTAGTACCGTTTGAATGTCCTGGGTCTGTTGATAGGCCAAAGAAACAAGTGCTCAAAGTAGGTGTAAAAATTCAGTTGCATTTCTTTTGTAGAACTTGAATTCATTATATCACTTATAACTCCATTTACTTCTGTTAATTAGGCAGTAGAAAAGGTTTTGGCAGAATCTATAAGGAGAGAAATGGCACTTGAAGAGTTTTGTGCCAAGCAGAGTTCTGAGATATTGCAGCTTAATCGCCTGGTAAATTTCTTTCTTATTTACAACCATCTCTCTTTTTTTTTTTGTGTACGATGTTATTAATGAATGCTTCCCTTGTACTTGTAGGTGGAACAGTACAAGCATGAGATCGAATGCAATGCTATAGTTACACAGACAAGGGAAGATAAAATTCTTCGTCTTGAGAGCCTCATGGATGGTGTTTTACCCACTGAAGAGTTCATGGCAGAAGAACTAGTGGCTCTTAACCATGAACACAAGGTAGAAATATGTTCTTTTGCCCTTCACATTTATGAACAGTAGTCTGATATTTTATGCTCATAATGTGTGATTACTATCAACAGTTGTTAAAGGATAAGTACGAGAATCATCCAGAAGTTTTGGAAATGAAGATAGAGTTGAAAAAGGTGCAAGATGAATTGGAAAAGTATCAAAATTTCTATAAATTTGGGGAGAGAGAAGTGCTGATGGAAGAGATACAAAGTTTGAGAAGCCAGCTTCAATTTTATATTGAATCTTCATCAACATCATCAAGGAAGCAATATCCTCTATTGCAATTGACGTTGTCTTCTGATCCCAGTACGGCAGCAACCCTCGCTGCCATTCCAGAGTTGACAGATGAGAGAGAGAAAACAAACGAAATTCTAGCATCATCCAATAACGATATTGAAGCAAAGGAAATTCTAGAATCCTCCAAGAACAATAATGAAGCAAAAGAAATTCTAGCATCATCCAAGAATGATATTGAAGCACAATTTGAACAAGAAAGAATTAAATGGACTGAGGCAGAAAGCAGGTGGATTTGTCTTTCTGAAGAACTTAGAGCTGAGCTTGAAAGTAGCAGGTTGCTATCTGAAAAGAGGAAGCGGGAATTAGATGCTGAGAGGCAGTGTACTCAGGAGCTTCAGGAAGCCATGCACATGGCTATAGAAGGGCATGCAAGACTTTTAGAACAATATGCTGATTTGGAAGAGAAACACATCCATTTGCTTGCAAGGCATAGACAGATCCAAGAAGGAATTGAGGATGTCAAGAAAGCGGCTTCCAGAGCAGGAGTAAGAGGTGCAGAATCTAAGTTCATAAATGCCCTTGCTGCTGAAATTTCAGCGTTAAAAGCGGAAAGAGAAAAAGAACGAAGAATCTTAAGGGATGAAAATAAAGGGCTTCAGTCACAGTTGAAGGACACTGCAGAAGCAGTACAAGCTGCTGGTGAACTGCTTTTGCGGCTTAAAGAGGCTGAAGAAACTGTCACTGCTGCACAGGTTAGCAACAATTCAAATACCCGCCATGTTTGGTTTTATCAACTGGATGACTTTTTATTATGTTTAGTTGCTGTGATTGTAATTTCACTAACTGAGCCTCACTTTTTAACATGTAATTGCAGAAACGGGCGATGGATGCAGAACAGGAAGCCGCCAAGGCCTACAAACAAATTGACAAGTTGAAGAAGAAACATGAGAAGGAGATCATCACACTTAATGAGCTCCTTGCAGAAGCACGTTTACCGAAGGGATCGGTACGACCAACTTATGATGACGATGTTGTCATGCCCAGTTATGACGACTCAAAGGAACAAAACCGTTTTAATGATCAGTTTGAGCCATTTCATAATAATGCAGAGTACGGCGAGCTTGCAAAACTAGCAGAACCATCATGGTTCTCTGGTTACGATAGATGTAACATATAAATATATCATCTCATTACAGTGTGTCATTTGTATTAATTTGTCCATATATGATTTGAAAAAAAAGGTTGTATTCTTTCGTTCTTACTTTTTGTGAGCATAAACGAGTTTCCCTCCCCATTGCAGAAGCACGTTGAGTAGACACAATATTTACCCGATATCGATTGTCGGTTGCAAAGTCGATGATGCAGCTCTTCATTCTTTGTTATTCTTAATTCCAATTTATGAAATTATATTATTAACATATTTCCATTTTTTTTGTCTTAATAGCTGGAATTTGGGTTGGAGAAGGAAAATAATTGAATTGAATAACCTTAATATAACTTTTTTGCCTTGTAGTATTCATGTTCTTTTAATAGAGTCATGACGCATTTCCATTCATTTGATATAATTTACATTCATTTTACATATATTATAAGATTAAAATAATGAACTTGTTTCTCGAAATGAATTTTCAAGTATTGTTTAAAGTATTATAAGTCAAACCGTCTTAATATAAACGTCTTAGCATGTACTAAATTTAAAATTAAAACTCATACTTAACGAAACAATAACAAAAAATAATATACACAGCTTCATTGTTGAATTTTTTCTCCTGTAGAACTTCCTTAATAAAATAAATACAACGTGTTTATGATAGGCTAGGCTTTACAAAAAACGATGACATGAAAAAAAATTCTCTATATTTCTTTACTCAAAACAACATATTATTACATTATAAAAAAATAGATTAAATAATCATATAAAAAGTTACAGAATTTCAATAATCTTCTTATTCTCGCAATTAAATATTTTTCATAAAAGAAAACTATATAACTATGATCATATCACGAATAGCCTACGTTGTTTTGAAAATCATCCACGACAATTCTTTTATTAAGGACACATTTTTCAAATAAATTTAAATTTTTAAATTTGAATGAACCGGTTCATAAAAAAGAAACGCTATGATTATTTTCCCAAAAGTTAAAATCATAGAAAAAATTGCGTTTGTGAAAAATTGGTACCAATTACAATTTTCTTAAAACCTTTATGTAAAAGTTCTATAATCGAAATTAAAAGTTATAATAATATATTCAGATTTATTTGAGAGAAATTCAAACGATCATAACAAACGAAGTAAAAAGTTCTAAAGATACATAGGCTAAGCGTAAAAGATGTATATTCTGATATTGAATTTTTAGATAATACTGTATTAGGTATTTCGTTAAACTTATTTTATCATAACATTTGAATTAATTATATTTTAAAAAGTATACAGTATAATAAAAAGTATTTTATATTTTAAATTATTTTGACTTAGCTTTATTAATGTGTATTATTTAAAATTATTTTATAGCGTGCGAGGCACAGATTTCCAATCCCGTTTGAAAAACGATACTACTTTTTTGTTGTTCACTCTCTCTTCGCGCAGCTGAAGCAGAGAGAAGTTGAATAGAAGCATGGCGCCTCCCATTCCGAAAGTTCTGATGGTCAGATAAATTCAGTCCTCTCATGGATATTGTTTCCATGTGGTGTTCTTGCTTGTTGTGGTTGTTGTGACCTTTTGTTTTGTGATTTTCCTTTCAGGTCGCAGAGAAGCCGAGCATCGCTCTCTCTATTGCTTCTGTTCTATCTCGCGCTCAGGTACTCGTTTTCGCATTTCGTATACACACTGTTTTACTTCAAAACCTATATGTGTTTCCTCAATTCAAATCCTATACAGATGTTTCCTCAATGCAACCGAGTCTCATATTACTATTATTATTAAATTAGAATTCACTGCAGATTTTTACACTGTTGTTCAATCACATATTGCCATGTATGATATTTGTTTTTACTTTTATAATTTAATTAGAACACAGTGACAGTTTTTACTCTGATCTAATCTCATATTGTCAAGTATGATAGGTTTGTTAACTTTTATAATAATTACACATACTTGAGATGATATGTGAATGTGACTGATTTTCAGTGTAAATATTTTGCACTGAGTATAAATATTAGCTACGTAAACATTAAACTTTTTGAAGCACATCATGTAAGCAGATGTTTACGAGGAGGGGAAGTACGGAAGTTCATGAATTTGACGGGAAGTTTCTTGGATCGCCTGTAAATTTTAAAGTAACATCAGTTATTGGACACGTATTCAGGTATTTTTCTTATCTTTTTTCGAGGAGATCACTTATAAAGATTTTCATTTAAGCTTTTATTTTTTATTTTGTATATCTTTTGAAATATTATGAGGCATTTGCACTCCATTTGTCATGTATCTCTTTGAAATGGAAGTTGTGTTAGATTAAATGTTAAGGAATATTACGATGCTGTTCCACAGCTTCCATATGATCAAAGGAACGAAAGGATAGTGCATAATATATGATTAAATCACTGGAGTTGTTTGACATGAACCTCTATCTAGGTCGTGGTTTAATTTCATTGTCATTGAAAGTGTAGCAAGTGTCTTGTTTTCTACTAATTTTTTCAAGGTTGGAACAGTTTATGATGCAAACTTTGCTATTTGGTCTCACTGCACGATACACATGTCTTAAATCCTGAGTGTTTTGAGTATTCACTCTGGGTTTTCTATATTTTGTTGATAATCTAGTGTAGATTTTCCTGCTAAATATCAAGATTGGACAGCCACAGATCCGTTAGATNTTTTTTTTTTTGTGTACGATGTTATTAATGAATGCTTCCCTTGTACTTGTAGGTGGAACAGTACAAGCATGAGATCGAATGCAATGCTATAGTTACACAGACAAGGGAAGATAAAATTCTTCGTCTTGAGAGCCTCATGGATGGTGTTTTACCCACTGAAGAGTTCATGGCAGAAGAACTAGTGGCTCTTAACCATGAACACAAGGTAGAAATATGTTCTTTTGCCCTTCACATTTATGAACAGTAGTCTGATATTTTATGCTCATAATGTGTGATTACTATCAACAGTTGTTAAAGGATAAGTACGAGAATCATCCAGAAGTTTTGGAAATGAAGATAGAGTTGAAAAAGGTGCAAGATGAATTGGAAAAGTATCAAAATTTCTATAAATTTGGGGAGAGAGAAGTGCTGATGGAAGAGATACAAAGTTTGAGAAGCCAGCTTCAATTTTATATTGAATCTTCATCAACATCATCAAGGAAGCAATATCCTCTATTGCAATTGACGTTGTCTTCTGATCCCAGTACGGCAGCAACCCTCGCTGCCATTCCAGAGTTGACAGATGAGAGAGAGAAAACAAACGAAATTCTAGCATCATCCAATAACGATATTGAAGCAAAGGAAATTCTAGAATCCTCCAAGAACAATAATGAAGCAAAAGAAATTCTAGCATCATCCAAGAATGATATTGAAGCACAATTTGAACAAGAAAGAATTAAATGGACTGAGGCAGAAAGCAGGTGGATTTGTCTTTCTGAAGAACTTAGAGCTGAGCTTGAAAGTAGCAGGTTGCTATCTGAAAAGAGGAAGCGGGAATTAGATGCTGAGAGGCAGTGTACTCAGGAGCTTCAGGAAGCCATGCACATGGCTATAGAAGGGCATGCAAGACTTTTAGAACAATATGCTGATTTGGAAGAGAAACACATCCATTTGCTTGCAAGGCATAGACAGATCCAAGAAGGAATTGAGGATGTCAAGAAAGCGGCTTCCAGAGCAGGAGTAAGAGGTGCAGAATCTAAGTTCATAAATGCCCTTGCTGCTGAAATTTCAGCGTTAAAAGCGGAAAGAGAAAAAGAACGAAGAATCTTAAGGGATGAAAATAAAGGGCTTCAGTCACAGTTGAAGGACACTGCAGAAGCAGTACAAGCTGCTGGTGAACTGCTTTTGCGGCTTAAAGAGGCTGAAGAAACTGTCACTGCTGCACAGGTTAGCAACAATTCAAATACCCGCCATGTTTGGTTTTATCAACTGGATGACTTTTTATTATGTTTAGTTGCTGTGATTGTAATTTCACTAACTGAGCCTCACTTTTTAACATGTAATTGCAGAAACGGGCGATGGATGCAGAACAGGAAGCCGCCAAGGCCTACAAACAAATTGACAAGTTGAAGAAGAAACATGAGAAGGAGATCATCACACTTAATGAGCTCCTTGCAGAAGCACGTTTACCGAAGGGATCGGTACGACCAACTTATGATGACGATGTTGTCATGCCCAGTTATGACGACTCAAAGGAACAAAACCGTTTTAATGATCAGTTTGAGCCATTTCATAATAATGCAGAGTACGGCGAGCTTGCAAAACTAGCAGAACCATCATGGTTCTCTGGTTACGATAGATGTAACATATAAATATATCATCTCATTACAGTGTGTCATTTGTATTAATTTGTCCATATATGATTTGAAAAAAAAGGTTGTATTCTTTCGTTCTTACTTTTTGTGAGCATAAACGAGTTTCCCTCCCCATTGCAGAAGCACGTTGAGTAGACACAATATTTACCCGATATCGATTGTCGGTTGCAAAGTCGATGATGCAGCTCTTCATTCTTTGTTATTCTTAATTCCAATTTATGAAATTATATTATTAACATATTTCCATTTTTTTTGTCTTAATAGCTGGAATTTGGGTTGGAGAAGGAAAATAATTGAATTGAATAACCTTAATATAACTTTTTTGCCTTGTAGTATTCATGTTCTTTTAATAGAGTCATGACGCATTTCCATTCATTTGATATAATTTACATTCATTTTACATATATTATAAGATTAAAATAATGAACTTGTTTCTCGAAATGAATTTTCAAGTATTGTTTAAAGTATTATAAGTCAAACCGTCTTAATATAAACGTCTTAGCATGTACTAAATTTAAAATTAAAACTCATACTTAACGAAACAATAACAAAAAATAATATACACAGCTTCATTGTTGAATTTTTTCTCCTGTAGAACTTCCTTAATAAAATAAATACAACGTGTTTATGATAGGCTAGGCTTTACAAAAAACGATGACATGAAAAAAAATTCTCTATATTTCTTTACTCAAAACAACATATTATTACATTATAAAAAAATAGATTAAATAATCATATAAAAAGTTACAGAATTTCAATAATCTTCTTATTCTCGCAATTAAATATTTTTCATAAAAGAAAACTATATAACTATGATCATATCACGAATAGCCTACGTTGTTTTGAAAATCATCCACGACAATTCTTTTATTTAGGACACATTTTTCAAATAAATTTAAATTTTTAAATTTGAATGAACCGGTTCATAAAAAAGAAACGCTATGATTATTTTCCCAAAAGTTAAAATCATAGAAA